CTAAGCAAACACTCTACCACTAAGCCATCTTCCCAGCCCACGTTCCTTCAGTTTTAGCTTCAGAAGTGTTGGGATTGCAGATGTGAACTGCAATGCTTGGCTCCTGACCATTTTTATTTTTCAATAGTAGGATCTGAACTCAAGGTCTTGTAACCTGCAGAGAACTCTAAAGCTGATCAGTGAAACCTGGAAAAGGTTTGAGGTTGAAACACTGCTTTGATAGCACTTGGAAGGCCGAGAGCTGGTCACAGAAGGGTTAAAACAGACAGCTTGCTGGACGCCAGTTTCTCAGCCTGTAATCCTAGCTACTCAGGAGGCTAAGATTGAGAATCCTGGTTCAAAGCCAGACCCAGCAGGAAAAGTCCGTGGAACTTTTATCTCCAACAAACCACTAGAAAACTGGAAGTGGCACTGTGGCTCAAGCCGTAAAGCGCTTGCCTTGAACTGAAGAGTGTAAGGACAGCACCCAAGCCCAGAGTTCAAACCCCAAGTTTGGGGGGGGCGGAAATGAAAAAAAAACCAGCTCTGGAGAGGGTGGAGAGACTGGGGTGCTGCCCCCCTTACCTTAGTCTGACAGCTGTGCTGGGGACCTTGTAGGCTAGACAAAAGTCCTTCACAGCTTAACCTTGGATTAGATAAGTGGACACCATGTCTGGACTTTCCCTGGACAGCAGTCTCCTGCCTCAAAAGAATAAGGAAACCAGTGTCTCTTACAAACTGTTTAAGCTCTGATTGTAATATTAATATAGATGCTTTATGTTTTGCATGAGTCCATGGTAACCCCCTGTGTAACTCAAATAAATATGCTTGTTTGTGGGAACTTAGGGCCCAAATGCCAGAAAGCCTTGGGACCCCTGGTCCCGGCTGATTCTCACCTCTCATTTCTTATCTCTCTATCTCTGACTTTTCTCATTTTCTGTGTCCTGGTATCCTGTCACACTGCCTCAGGTTGTGTGGAGTGGACAGTCAATTAATCTCTCAGTGGTTTGGCCTTTCTTTGACTTTCATGGTACTTCCTCTTCTGTTAATTCAAAGTTAATCATGCTTCAAGACTTAGCATGAGCTCTGTCTTCTCTAGGAAATTTTCCTTAATGATCAAATTCTGAACAAGGAAAGGCAACATCAAAGATACAGAACAAGAAAGAATGGGGAAATGTCAAGTCATAAAATGTCAAGGCATAAAATTTGAGGGCCACAATGACTAGAGACAGACTACGAGATTGACAGGTTATGTTGATTAATTTCACAAACAGCTCCACTTCTAGATTATTTGGTAGCTAATTATAAAGTCTCATGGATTTTCCTCTCTGGGCTGGCTTCAAACTATGATCCTCAGATCTCAGCCTCCTGAGTAGAATTTTAGTTGTGAGCCACCAACATCTTGTTTGAGCTGCTTTTTTTTTTTTTTTTTTTCGGTTATGGGGTCTGAACTCTGGGCCTGGGCTCTGTCCTTCAGCTCTTCAGCTCAAGGCTAGTGCTCTACCACTTGAACCACAGCACCACTTCTGGCCTTTTCTGTTTATGTAGTGCTGAGGAATTGAACCCAGGGCATGCAAGGCAAGCACTCTACCACTGAACCACCTACCCAGCCCGGGAATAAGCTATTGGGTGAGATTAAATTTCATGCATTTGATAGAGTATGCTTATATAAAAGATAGGCTTTTATTCATTTTTTTGGTTGGTTGTGGGGCTTGAATTCAGGGCCTAGGTACTGTTTCTGTGCTCTTTCATTCAAGGCTAGTGCTTTACCACTTTGAGCCAGAGCCACTTTTTTTTTTCTTCTGGTAATTAATTGTTCTTTCCTGTCCAAGCTGGCTCTGTGATTCTGAGTAGCTAGGATTAAGCTGTGAGCCATCAGCACCCAGCCAGCCTTTGATTATTTCCTGTACTGGGTCTTAAACTCAGAGCCTGGATGCTGTCCCTTAAGCACTTTTGTTCAAGGCTGAACCAAAAGGCTACCATTTGAGCCACATCTCCGTTTCTGGCCTTTTGGTGGTTAGAGATAGGAGTATCATGGACTGTGGCTGGAAATGTGGCTTAGTGGTAGAGTTCTTGCCTAGCATGCATGAAGCCCTGGGTTCCATTCTTCAGTACCACATAAACAGAAAAACCAGAAGTGGCACGGTGGCTCAAGTGGTAGACTGCTAGCCTCTAGCAAAAGAAGCTCAGAGACGGGCACAGGCCCTGAGTTCAAGCCCCAGGAATGGCAGGGAAAAAAAAGAGTATCATGTACTTTCTTGCCTTGGCTGGCTCCCAAACTCAATCCTCAGATCTGAACCTCTTGAGTATTAGGATTACAAGCACAAGGCACAAGCCACTAGTGTCTAGCAATCCATGATCATGATTGATAAGTGCCAAAGTATTTATGTATGCAATTCATTTCCTCTCTTTTGTAACTTATGGCCTTCCTGGGGTTTCAACTCAGGGACTCAGTACCTTGCTAGGCTGGCACTCTACTATTTGGGACACTCAAGCCCCTTCTTCATTTTATTGGAGTCTAGTGCACTTTTCTGCCTGGTCTGATTTCAAGTTTCTCCAGATCTCATCATTCTGAGTAGCTGGGATCACAGGCATGAACCACTGATGCTGATTTACAATGGTGCTCCAGTGGTTTTGTAAAACATGCAAATAAAGCCATGTATAATAGCTCAGCTGTATAATTCCAGATACTAGGAGGGTGGAGGCAGGAGAATCAAGAGTTCAAGGTAAGCTAGGCACCAGTGGCTCTCACTTGTATTCTCATATTCAGAGGGCTGAGATGCAGGGGTTCAAGGTTTGTAGCCAACCCTGGACAAAAAGTTGGTGAGACTATTTTTTTAAATAACCAGCAAAAAAGTAGAACTGGAGCTGGCTGCCAGTGGCTCATGTCTGTAATCCTAGCTACTCAGAAGGCTGAGATCTGAGAATTGAGATTCAAAGCCAGCTCAGGCAGAAAAGTCCATGAGACTCTTACCTCCAGTTAACTACCAGAAAACCAGAAAAGGCGCTGTGACTCAAGTGGCAGAATGCTCACCTTGAGCTGAAGAGCTCAGGTACAGCATCCAGACCCAGAGTTCAAGCTCCATGACTGACCAAAAAAAGTGGAACTGGTGGTATGGTTCAAGAGGTAAGGCACTTAGCCTCAAGGGCAAGGCCCATAGGTTCAATCTCCATCCACTAGAGAAAAAAAAAAGTGGGGCTGGGAAGGTGGCTCAGTGGTAGAGC